ATTTTTTTTTATTTATATTATAAATTTATGCTGTTTGCTCCACTGTGCGTGAGTAAGAAAACTTTTAAAAGAACATACGAAAAAGTTATAGACATGTAGCACAAGTTAGCTCAAGTTAGGACAAACACACACACATACATTCAACACACGCCCTAAACACACACGTACTGAAAATATTGCTACATAAATTTGATTAGCATATTAAGTATACGCAACGGACAGTGCATTTTTTTCACAGTGTACTTTTCTTCTTTTTTTTTTTTATATTTTTTTAAATATATTTTTGCTACCATATAACGTAGTTGCAAAAGCCAAGCCATACAAATTGTGTAAAAGGCCGAGAAAAAAATAAGAAAAACAAATCAGTGTTGAATTATTTACAAATTTAATTCTAAATATTATGGACCCTTTTCATATTTTCTTTTCTTTCCCTTTCTGTTTTCTTCCGTACGTATGAACTGTGCTCAAGCATTCATAAGTAGCTTACAGTAAATTAGTTGCCATTTGGGACTGACAAGCGTGTGGCGTTCAAGTTACCTTGATCAACTGCTCAAATGTGTCTAAAGTGGCAAAATTTACGCTGAATTTTTAAATAGCATTAAACGTTAAAAGAAGCTAAATGGATTTTCGTATTATAATTTTCTTCGACTTATTGCTCAAATGGGCAAAAAGCCATATTTATATTGCTTTCTGTACTTTACGATATTAAATGTTTATTTTGAATGCGTTTGTATTTTTTATGGTTTAATAATAGAGCTTAAGTTTTATTATAATTTATGCCCTAAAATATATTATATCTATAGGCATAGCAAATTGCATCATAAAATGATCTATATCTCCATAAATTAATCGTTATATGAAGTTGTTGTATGAATGTTGTATTCACATGAAATAAAATACCCTAAAAATAGCTCGAACCTAATCAACAGCATTAGGAGATGCATTCAAGCATGAAATGCCTCAAATTTTCATTCAGCTCGAAGCCTGTGCGATGTCTATTATCAATCATAATAATTCAGCGTTAATAAAATACTCGCACCTCATTTAATGCTAATCAAATTGTATTATTCATGATAATGCTAATCATATTAATATGTTATCATACTCATCATAATATTGATAAGTCTTATAATTAATATTGCCATTAAATTATTTATGTATTTTAATCATTTAATCAAACAGTAGATAATTAAGCTAGTAAAGTAAGTAAGTATAGTCTACTACCAACTGTTATTAGCCAATTCTAAAATGACCTTGAAATCTATTTGAACAGCTGATAAAACTTAAACAGCCGACAAATTAAACATTTTTTATGACTATATTAGTGTAAATTATTCTCTACATATAATATATGGAAGGGGAAATAGCATCTGCGTGTGACATGAACTATCTAAAAGCAAATTCAATTACTTTTACCTCAAATTTATTGCCCACTCTACAATACAAATGCACAAATTCTAATTAATTCAATGGCTGAATTCTAAATGTCAACTTTTAATTAAATACAATCAATACAAGCTTAGCAATTTTGTTATTCAATTTCAGCTACAATTGCGAACTGCATGGTTCATTTATGAATTTTTAAGCAGCGTTGATTGCATAGAAATCAATTGGCAATCAGCAAGGAAAGCCTTAGCTATATACACATACGTGTGTATATATGTAGATATGTAGCTGTGTATATAGATACTCATACATATGTATAAATATAGCCAACTTACGTGCGTGCAACGATTTGTTCTAGGAAATTTCTAATTGTTTGTTTGTTGTTGTTGTTGTTGTTTTTGTTGTTATCCTATGCAGCGACCTTGACGTAAACAAGCTTAAAGTCGAAGCACAGTTATTAGCGCTTCACTCAACTCAACTGGGCTGTAAAGAGTGAAAATAAAAGTAGATGAAATGCATAAATTAAATATAGAAAGCAATTTGTTAAAGGATTTACTCAAGAGAGCCACAAACTTTAATTAACTTTGCTGAAGCAGGCAGCAGAAATACGCCATTTTGCAATTTAGCTAGCCAACAGGAAATGCAAGCAGGGACCAACACCCACACATACATATACGTGCGCACACACAGACACCTGAAGCTTGTCAGGTGGCATAGCCTGACCGAGCTAACGAGCGCGCAATCAAAAGCTCAAGTTAAGAGCTAAAATGTCAATCATCTGCCCAAAGGCATTTCAAATACAATCAATCTTTCCATGGCTTCGCTTTCAAAAGCTAGACAAATAATTTCATTATAAGTATTTAATTACAGCTGTCCAAATTATTTTTAAAAAATTATCATTTTAAAAATAGCACTCGAAAAGAAAAAAAAAATCTGTTTCTATTTTTACAATACCCTAGCCAAAAAAATATGCCAAATCGGGCATAAGATTTGAAGTAAATTCTAGAAAACAAATATTTATATTCAAATTATATATTCCATTCATTAGCTCATTAATCTTTGCCCATATTCAGCACGCCTAACGGCTAATGTTATTTCATTTTACATCTCAAATCAAACTACGTAACGGCAAAAGTCTGTTATTTTTAAGACTTCGATGCAGTTGTAATTGTTTTTCTAACATTGCTGTTAGCTGTTAAGTTTAACATTCCAATTAGCTTGAGCATACGCACTTTCCATTGTCTTTGTTTCCTGCCTTCTCGCTCCTATTATTTGCAGCAGTTTGAAGTGCTGCGCATTAACATAGTCAACCCACGCAAGCTTTTCTGTTTTGTTGTTGCTTATATTGAATTTACAGCAACTGAAAGCGAATTTTTTATTTTTGGCAATTTGACAGCACTCAAAAAAACAGCTAAAATATGTGTGTCAATGTGGCGACGCTATTGGCTGCCTAGACCTTGTGGTCTAGTGAATATTTTTTTCTTTGACCAATGTGGATAAGGCTAAGAGTTTAATTAACCCTCAAAACACGCACAGCAAGCGGCACTTGTTGTCGTACTGCCCCCCATAGACTAAATTAAACTGTTGTTGTTGTTATTTAAGACACTACTGCGTAGACAGCAGGATAACAGCGCCAAAGCAAAACGTACAGGCCAAACCACACAACAACAGCTCTACATACAGGCTCTCAATTTATTATGCTGCTCCATCGTAAACAGCTGTGCGAAAAAAAAAAAACAAAAAAGCTCTCGCAACCACTCAAGCTGTGCTCGCTCTCTAATAATTCTACTACTCTCTCGCTCTCTCACTCATCGCAAGCACGTTGTGTGCTGTTCTCTCTCTCTCTCTCTCTCTGTCTCTGTAGCTGGCTGTTGCTATTGATATTGTTCTAGTTGTTGTTATTGCTGTTGGTCTTTGGCGGTTTTTGTTGTGTATTTTACATTTTTGTTGTCTTTTCTATAAGTTCATTTTTCAGAAAAAACGTGTTGAACGGTAAACCGTTTATGCCATCATTTTGCACACTTTTGCTTTTTCTGTGTGTGCGTGTATGTAGCATGTGGTTGTAATATAATTATATTGAGGTAACAAGTTCTGGAAGTACTGGGCGTAAGCTGAACTTGCAGCTGGGCTCGGCTACACAAAAATAAACTGTTTATGCAGTTAAATATGTGGGTAGACGAAGGTGGGGCGGCTCATTGCTTTCTTTAGCTAACGGCGTGTGCTTTTTCCACTCTTTTTGTTTTACTGTAATATTTGTTTGCCCTTGTGACCTAAAAAAAAAAAAAGGATTGGGAGCACGCAAAGCGCTTCGTTCTTTTTGCTTTAACAACATTCATATATTAAAATAAATAAATAAATCAGTGTTAATATTTCTATAAATTGGCAACATCCGCTGTCACTTTTCATTCACAACTAAATTGCAACAAATTCTCGCTCAATTGTTCGTGCCGCAAAAGTTAAATTCACAAATTCAATTAACTTTCACTTGCATGCAGTTTATTTTGTAATATAATTATTGTTCTGCCTAATCAATTAATTAATTGTGCACTGATAACATTTTGTACCTCTCTTGGCCTTAAGCAAACACACACACTCTCAATTATGTACACTCTGACAATAAATTTGCGCGCTTTTGTTTACCGTTGTAATTTAAAAAAAGAATATTGTACAACATTGACATTGCACCTGTTTTTTGTGCAAACATTCAGTTATTTACACACCTTGTGTGCTGCAGCAGTTGGGGGCGAAGAAACAGCCAAGTTAAAATCCTGTTTCGCGCACCACTTTTTCTTGTACACCAAAAAATGCTGCGCTCTGTAATATTCTGCGTCTAAAACGGCTAAAAACACACAAACACACACACGGATACAATCGAATTGGTATGCGCAGAAATTAGTCGCTTTGATTTGCCGATTCCAAACCGTCACTGTGGAAAGCAGAACTCCAACTAAACTCTGACATCTTAAATAAATGCTGCTGTTAATGTTAAAAGTGCTTAAGCAACAAGAGCGAGAGCGAGTACGAGAATGACAACGGCACTACGGAGAGCACAGACACGAATAATCGGCACGACTGGGCAGTCGAACGAACGAATGTGCCCAACAATCTYTCGATTGCGCATCGCTAACAGACATTAAACCACTCAACACTGTAACAGTTGCCAGAGAGAACATGTTAAATGATAGCTTTGTGGAGCACTGTTAAGTGAGTTTCAGAACTCATGAACTGTGTGAATAGTTTGAGAGCGACTGTTAAAGGCTATAATATGTACATACAATGTAAAAAACTGTTGAATTCAAATTTACAGTTTTAAAATCCGTATTATTATTAAATACATCTACTTGGGATTTAAGGTAAAAAACAATTTCAATTTGATTTATATTATTTAATAATTTTTATTTATAGTACCTCACTTTAAAAATTACGTTATACCAATATTACATTAAATGTTTGTTGTTGTTTCAGTTGTTTAAACTGCCTTCCAATTTGCCATATAGTACATACATCGAACTACATGTACTTGCATTGTCTAAGGACATTTGCGTAATTATTCATAATATTTATCATTTATAGAATTATTATTATTATTATTATTTAGGTCTGTATGGTTCCTGTCTGGGCTAACATTTAAGTTTATAATCGATATTTCTTTCCGTATATTGATAATTCGAAATGTGCTATAATATTGTGTGGTTAATGATTAAACTTATAATTTAAATAAGCTTAGACAGTATAATTTTTTAAATGTTTTCTTTCGATTTCATATTCATATCTTTTTTTATTTTATGTACTAAAATTCTTGTTTCTCTTCATTTATTTTACTTTACTTCGTTTTATTTTTTAATTGTTCTCGCGACAATTTTAACAATGTTATTATGATATTTATTTATATATATTATTTAATTGGTATTTATTCTTCTTTCTCTTTTTTTTTATACTCTTATAGACTTTATTTCATATGCTGTTCAGTTGTTAATTATTTTACAATGATATACAGTTTTTTGTCTAACATATATTATTAAATATATGTTATGTATATATATAATTATTTGAAAAATAGCAACTAAAAAATAATAGGAATTAAATTAT